AGATAAAAACATGAATCTGGATGTTTTCTGGTGTTATTTCACTTCCGGCGACATTTGTTTCTATTTCAAGAACCAATGTCAAAATTGGCAGAAAATTCGAGTACACCAGCCGGTTCCAAAAAAGATTTTGGGCCATTTTTTTGTAATTTAGAAGAAATACAGGGAAACGAACCCATGTAGAAACGGGCAATACGCAGCTTCAAAGGTTACATTGTTTGTGGTCATAAAGTCCTGCAGCCACTGCACATCAGCAATTGGTACAGCAGGATGTACTTGCTCTGGTCCAATGTTCCCTTAAATCACAATATTAATATTCTTATTTATATATATAAATAGAATAAATGAAGAAAAAGCCACTCAACTTGTAACTAGGTTTTCTATTTTTTAATGAACGTTGAATGTACCTGTAGTCATGCTTTATTACAGTTTATATGCACGCATTGAATAGAAAACAAACAATTCAAATGATTGCCATTTATGATCACAATGGCTATAAGGGTGCCAGCACATGATTGTTTGAAAAGAAATTTAACAGTAGTACACTGATTGACACAAATGTTAAATTGAAAATATCATATCCTGGTGAAACTTATAAAGTCTATAAAAGAAATGGTATAACAACATACCTTGTCTTAGGATTGGTCTCAGATACTTTGCTATAGTATTGGAATTTATCTTCTTTGCCTCATTTCTAGAATCCATTATAAGCTGTACAATCGATATTGGTCTTTCAGAACCTGCTGTTCTTAGAGAATTAAATTCCCCATCTGTCACAAAACCTAAATTGAACAAATGATAAACCCTCTGTTAAAAGAATTATAATCAAATTTACCAGGCACTTTGTTTACGAAAATATCAATAAACACAGAATGTATCTGAGAATTTGTAGTGTCAGACATGGTCCAATGAACAGGCTTATGGTACTTTGCGAAACGAAACGAAACGAAATCTGTAGTTTGCGAAACTGTAGTTTGCGAAATCTGTAGTTTGCGAAACTGTAGTTTGCGAAA